TTCTAAGTTGTCAATAGGGAATTGTATTATAGAATCACGCCATGATGCACTATAACTGTCACGTGATGCCCTCTATCAAGTTCAGCTCACGAAAGGGGGCGTTATCCTTTGAAGTTTGCCGGCCTTCCAAACCCTCTCATTATATTAACTATGCATCATCCAACCAGACCCAACCCCGCTCCGCAGATCCACACGAGAGAAAACCATCCCAGATCGCCTTAGATATTGAATAATGGACACCTAAGCTAAGAGAATCTGACATTATTAAGCACATAGATAATTTAGTTAATTTAGCAAGAACAATGGTATGAAATTCAAATTATGAACAATCAGCAATAGGAATCAAATATATATAGTTCAACCTAGCAAGTTACTAAACAGGGGAGGAATGTTGTATCCCGTACTTAATTCATTCCAGGCTTAACCTTTCACACACACACCCATATCATATATCCTAATTGCCTGTCAATGCTTGTATATATATTTACTTAATTCTATCAATAAATTAGTCTTTGATTAGATATATGCTAGAGGTCTCTATAACCCAAACAAGCAAGATACAAAAGGATGGTCATCGGCGACGAAAACCCCTAAATAGAGAAAGTGTGGATGTAGATATGCCTGGTTTGCGGTATCCGTAAAGAGCTCGCGATGTTGCAGCAGCTGCAAAGAAATCAACAATTCATCTCACAGCACTACTTTGCGAATGTTTTCCGGAAAACAATTCCAAAATTTACGAAGCCATGCGCATTTATGATCCACAGTACTGGGCAGAAGATCCAGAATATGGATTCAAAGAGCTACGCATGCTTTTCGAAAGATTTAAAGTGCCCTTGTCGGAAGCTGGGATCGACGAGAGTGTGTTATTCATTGAATGGAAACGATGTAAGATCTACGCAAGGTGTAAAATGGGAGAACTTTTGAAGGATGCAAAATTTATGTGGCAAAGGATCTTGACATTCAAACGACTTGAATATCCAAACCTTTGTCTCGTGATAGAGTTGATTACATGCATTGCAGGTTCCAACTCAGCAGTTGAGAGAGCCTTCAGCTTGTTGACTATTTTGTTAACCGTCTGGGTGCCAAGGTTGGAAAAAACTTATTAAAAAATCTAACCAAAAGGATTCTGAATACATTTGAGACCACCTACCAGATTTTGGGGCCAGTTTTAATTTTTAACCTACATAACCTGGTTTTCCAAACTGTTTGCTCAGGAGCAACATTGGCCTTTACAGTATAAAATGGGAATGAAAAACCTAGAACATAGAATATGCAAACGTTTTTGAATAACGTAGTAACAATTAGATTTAATGAATATATATTATATTATCTACCTCTTCCACAGGCGTTTCACTACATAGATGCGGGCAAGGAAAATTAGGGATTGCATGGCGCAGGTGGAAAAGGTAATGCAGGTAGTTGAAGATATCTAATTCGATTTTCCTGCATTATTTTCCCCTACAATTCTCCTCCTGCATCTAAATAATTAAACACCTGTGGAGAAGGTAGATATATTATGAGTAATTTTTATCAACTAGGTATATAAAGGATACAAAATCATGCAAAATGTCTCGTCCTTCGCAAAGAACTCAAATTGTCAATGTTCAACCAAGTCTATTTGCGGTGATATGAAGCAAAGCAGTTTTTAGGGTTTTTTCCACAAACTAAGCACAAATATACTTTGCACTTAGAGCAGGTCCAAAAGCTGTAGCCAAAAGCTGTAGCGTAAATTCTAGCCAAAAGCTGTAGTGTAAAAACTTAGAGCAGGTCCAAAAGCTGTAGCGTAAATTTTGCCAGGTACATTCGCAGAATGGAGCGTCCTTTGAAGGGCACCATGATTTCATCAACGGACTGAAATTCATCGCAGCTGATAGTCGAAAAGTTCTGTTGCAGTCGCTCAATCCATGGTCGCAATTTCCATACACAATCGAGTTTTATTTGATCAGATGTAGTATTATTGTCCACAAAGTGAAGTGTTTGATGAATCAGTCTGAATTGGTTCCGTGACATCTTGTCAGCAATTTGACTGTGCCGCAAATCTGACCTCCACTAGTCATCAATCTTTGGAAGTCGGACAATTCCCATCAAGTAATAAATGCCAAAGTAAGTTGTCATTTCCGCTTTCGTAAAATTTGGACACAAGCTTGTCTTTTCGGTTGCGTATTTGTTGGATTCTTCCACCAAATTGTCAATCATGTCATCAGTTAAAAACATGTTGACATACTCAATGGGTATATTCTTTCATCGGGCGCTGGTCTCTTGGGTTCTGGTATAAATGGGGGTACCGGACGTGGCAAAAATGGTCGTCGCTTTTCAAATTTATACCTCAACTCGTTTTTCTTTCGACTGGTCAGGGGTACATTATCATCATTGTTGTCATCACTACCATCGCCACTAACAATATCATTGTTGTCACCCTCCTCACCACCACCAATGCCTGAACCATCATCATAATCGCTACCACAACCACCTTGAACATTATCCATCTCCCAATCCTCATCACCATCATCATCCAACTCATCTCCAGATGACAAAACATCACATTCACTATCAGAGCCTGTTACTGTGTCCAAAATGTCAGCAATTTCAACTAAATCCTTTGCCTGTAGGAATAAAATATATATTTTGGTAAAAAATGTCACAAAAAATCAAAATATAAACAATGGTTTCCTAACATTTTGTTCTTCTACATTTGTGTGTTTTGTAATATCTTACAGAATATTTATAAGTAAATATCACTAAAAATGAAATAACATAAAAACATATATCCCATGTGGTCATATCCATGTTGCACTTTGTACCCAATGTTGCTTGTGAGCAACACATATTTTGTGGTCTATTTTTCGAGTAATTTTATATATTTCCTAACTTTAAATGAATGAATATTAACTTCGAATAATGCTTGTTCTTTTTTCAATACAGTAGAGATTTAAACGAATATTTCTTACCTTACGCGTGCTTCCTTCCTTGCTTGTTGAAGCAGCCATTTTGGAAAGATCTAGATCATGTGATTCATGGCCGAGAAGTTTTCTGTAGGGCTAGGAACAAGCTATATATGTTGCTTAGCAGCAACAATGGCTTTGAAAAGATGTAAATTTATATTGGCGACTAGGGAGGGGGTATGCATACAATGTTGCTCACAAGCAACAGTGGCTCCTAGAGGGTAAAAGTGATCGACGACTCAGTATGAAACATTTGACAATGACTTATTTAATGCTGATCAAAGGAAACGATAACTGTTGGTCGGCAAAGGAGCATAAGGAGATTCTTGAACATGCTTGAGAACTCTACATGGAGAAAAGGTGCAAAGTCAAACTAAACTGGAATATTGGGGATGAAGAAACTCCATTAAAAAAGCGTAGAATTGAGAAAGACGCCATAGTAACCATTCACGATAACTCGTCAAGCTCGTTGGAAAGTGAGTCAGAGGACAGCAATGTTGAGATTTTCGTTGACGTTTAAAGTATACAATGACTTTGTAAATATCGTAAATATTAATATATGTGCTGACTGGTACAAACATATTATATAGAGAATATACATGGGTGCTTGGAAATACCAGATTTATTTCGAGTGTTGAACATGATATCTCACGAGTGAGCGCAGCGAACGAGTGAGATATCATGTTCAACACGAGCCTGTATCTTCAAATCTGCACTTTTATCACGGTATCACATCTGTATCCAGCAACAAATGTTGGATTGATATTCGTTCATTCTTCAAGATGATGGGATTCCAGATAAAGAAGTCAACGCTTAATGTTCAATTAATACATTCGTTACTTTTTCGTTAGTTTATGCCATCCCTCGATATATCGGTATTAATTACGAAAATAACAATAGTTTATAATACGGCAATAGTAACTTCTAAAATTAGCACTAATTATTCTAATTCTTTACTCCTGTCAATCAAAAATTCAAAATCAACATTCTGACCAATCAGAATGCTCCATCACCCAACTGCCGGAGAACTCAGAATGTGTAGTTTTTGGGCAGGTGGTATTTCTAGCTTCCCGTTCTCTCATGCCTGCAAATACCGCCTGCTACGCAGGGTATCATTACCCATGCATACGTTTTTGTCTTCTAAATTTCCCCAGGAAATTTTCCCCGGGAAATTTAGTTGAAAACAAAAGATTTCTTTGTCTTCTAATTTTCCCCTGCATGCTTGATGAGGGAAATTTAGAAGACAAAAGCGCACCTCATTACCTCTTATTGGAGAGCTGTACCTCATCGAAAATCATCGGCACAACTATGGAGAGCATCTGACGACACTGTCCTGTACTCATTTGAACAATCACTTTGCCAATTTTTATTCTGCAATTTTGAACATTTCAATTGTGGGAGAAAATTCGGTTTATGTGCATGCCTAAAAAGAATGAACACAGAGATGTGTTTCTGCGCATGCGTTTATATGAAAAGTGTTCATCTCACAATCATAAGACAATCAAACAGCATTCAAAAGAGACTAACACACCACATGTGATTCCCTTGGCTACCATGTAATTACAAACTAAACACATGCTTTGAGGGAAATTAGTGATTAATCACTAATTTCCTTCAAAATATGCGTTTACTTATAATAATGCCATACGATGGGTTTAGAATATCTATTGCCTGTTGATGCACCTCTGGTTTATACATTCCTGAAGGAACTGGCCAAGATCTAGCTGAACAAGTTGTAGACATTCTGACCGAGAAACTACATCTTACTGCAAGACTTTAGTGATCTTCGAGGTACAGTTTATCTACTGACATATAGATATATGCACAACTGACCACAAAGAATAAGATACCGAGCAATGTACATATGTAAATACAGTCCTGAATTTAAAATATACTTGCTTGCAAAAAGAGGCATGGATAAGAGGCATGGATGAATCTTAACCAGTTTTGTAATCTTGCAGCAATTTATTTATGTTTCGTTTTGCTCAATTAGAAAGTTAAGAACTTGTGTTTGCAATTAAATTATCAGTCTCATTCTGGCCTAGAACAATTATATAGCACTCAATAGTAACATACTTAATAACAACATGCCTATTGTAAAATAATAAGAGCGTATATTTCTTGCATTTTGTTCTAGCTGTACATGCAGATGGACAATACCAAGCTAACACATTTCAGGATAAATTTTTGGAATTGTTAGGAGCATATCATCAACCTGACCCATACTTTCTTCTGCTCTGGGATGTTTCGCACTGGATGGATATTGTCATGGTTCATCTCCGTGAAGATTCAGATTCTTCCAAGTTTCTTACATGTCTCATCAAGTGATCAAACAAGATGCACACAGTGTTCCAGATAGGAAGAGGTCACGTTGAATATATTGGTTTGGCCAAGCATCTCAGCCTTAAAGCTTTAGAGACTGTTACATTTTCCACCACAAGATTCACAAGTTCATCAGATGAACAGTTGGAAAAGATATATACAATCACAAGTCAATCGCTTAACCTTGCCGCCATGGAAGATTGTCAAATGGCTTCCACATGTAACTGGAATTCTAGAGAAAATAATAATAATAACACTTTATTTAATGAGGATTAACAGATAAAGCTACCACTTGTTTCCAATCTGGTCCTCTAAAATTACAGTAATACATTATTTACATGGAGACATTACCGACATTAACTACATATATTACAATCACACAATATTGAAACTATACCTATCAACAAATATATCTAGAATTAATTAAAAAATAAAGTTCCTAATATAATATTTGAATGTTTAGTTCAGTTGACCTAGCTATGTGAGGTGAGTTTCTTTGCCACGTTTTGAAATTTGTTCCACAAGGAAAGAGCCAGGTATGAAAGCCTCTGTTTACCTGCGTTGATTCTGGCTTTGAGAAGAGTGTCGTATCGTATTTAACTATATTATTAATTGGATAGATGGATGGATAGATGGTTTATTGAACTTTAGAACTTACAGCCTCAGAAAATTTCACAGCTGAATTACGCTAAGTTTAACAGATATAAGATATTAGCAATATATGCTATGAACCCTATTTACATTTAAAAATATTAAAAAAACAAATTGATTATCTAAAATATATATTAGAATTGTACATGATAAAACTATCATTAAGTCTGTTCGTTTTACACACAGGAAGTTCAAAATTTCTATGATTCCCTAAAAGATGATCGTCAATATTTAATGGCGGATAAGTTATGATGTGAGTTGCTGGCTATTTCATTAAACAACTTCGTTGTTAATTTTTGTCATGATAAACATGCAATGACAAACATTAAAAATCAGTACCCGTCGCTCTTTATTATGCACAAATGTGTTCAGTTGTTTTAATTATCATAAAACCACTATTAGTAAACGAGGGAGTGATGTACCTTTTGCAGAAAGTATAAGGCTATTTGGATTTAGGGTTTGGATACCAGGATGAAGTAAACATATGCAATTTCGGCCATTTTTCGATTGCGAAAATCGGTCCTCACAGCTGAAACACTATTTTGCCTTTTTTTCATAAACAAAAGACTTTTAAAAACTAACCATAGGACGTTTTATACTTTGTCATAGTTAACTTTAAATTCAAAAGTAGAGCAAATTTAAAATTTTGAGCCTTGCTGCGGTATGTTTGATTTTTGTAGAGACTCGCTCTTAAGTATTTCAGCGTTTATTGCTTTTATCATTTTTGAGCTTATTTCATCATGTCCTGCACTTTTATTTTCTCTTAAATTAATTATTTCGTTCAGTAACTCATTTTCAGTTACAGGCCTAAACAACATACTTTCAACATAATTTGCTTTTAGGTAGTCTTCATGATATGTCATTGACCTTGGAAATTTTTTTAGCAAGTTGGGGGCCCACATTTACAAAATATTCATTAAATTTGTTTGCAATATATCAACCGGATTTGTAAGATTGATGTTTGAATCTTTTTGCAAGAACGTGTCAGGTAGTTTTGATTTAGTTTTACTTCTATTAAGGACTTCATTGATAGTTTGCCATGTCATTTTAATGTCATTTTTGTATTTTAGAAATTGATTTTCGTAGTTGACTTTCTTTGCAGCTTTGATTACATGATTCAGTCTATTTTTGTATGTTTTGTAATTTACTTCATTTCTATACGACGGGTTTTTCAAATAGTTTTTATAAAGTTGATTTTTCTTTGATATAGACTTCAAGATACCACCTGTCATCCATGGACTGTTTGCATAATCAATAGCTCTTGGTTTCATTTTCAATAAGGGAAAACTCTTATCAATTGCTACTTTTAAGTTATTATGAAAATTATTGTAAGATTCTCACATGCGTCATTTGTTTGGTAAGTACTTTCCCATGATATTTTTTTACAGAGACTAAAAACGAAGCAAGACTATCTTTTTACAGAGACTAAAAACGAAGCAAGACTATCAATTTTGTAGGACATATTATTTCCCTTTTCTGTAAAATCATCAGTATTTGAGGACAAAGAAGCTAAATGAAATATAGGCAGATGATCTGAAATATCTGAGTAAATTAATCCATTTATGCTAGATTCTATTTGTTCTAAATCGTTAGTAAAGATGTTATCAATTAAAGTTGCTGTGTGCTGGGTAATCCTAGTTGGTTTATTTATAAGCGGAAAGAAAGATGATGTGAAAAGTTGCTGACAGAATCTGTTTGAATATTCGCAAACATCAGATTTCAGAAGGAGGGGAGTTTTTCGAAACAACCAAAGGAACTGCGACATGCAAGCTTGAAGATAACTTACTTTGTTTGATACCACATTTTGAAACCGAATTGTATACCCTCACCATCTACGTTTACCATGGACACATTCCTCACATTAGCAATTACTAATCGTCTGTATTCCTACAGTGAAGAGATCAATGCTGCAGCGAGATATGCCATCAACAATATGCAAACATTTCAAATATTGGGCAACATACTTTGGGTGTCATATCACTAGTTTATTTGAGCAGCATTTGGCTGACAATCTAGAACTAGTCAACATAACAAAGATTTCACATTGGCAACGTCACAAATACACAAACTGTTTTTGTCAGAAGATTATTGTAAGGACTTAACCATTGCCTTTGGAGTTGAATGGAACAAAATTACCGATGGGCAACAGACTCTTGTTACACAATTGGTATTCCGATTGTACCAAATTTTGATCTTTGAAGTAGAGAAGCAAATTAAAAAGACAGAAACAGAACCGATTGAGTTCAATGTGGTAGAAATTAATGGAGTTGGATTGGTGAAAGTGTGTTATGTTGGTGCGTGGGCAGTTCGCAAATGTCTCAACAAAGGTCGAAGGTATGTTATGGCCAACAAGAATTAGGAAACCAATAATATGTGTGAAAGGTTGGAAAGGGAAATGAAAATGTTGGATCTTTTGGAAAACAACATATTTTTCACGCTTTTAGAACAGGAATGAGTAGATCTAATAAATCTCCAACAGCTGTCATTGCTGAAAGGTGATATGCTTGACAAAAGTGTTCTAAAGAATGAAATATTAAAAAGTAAATTTTCTGGTTTGTTTGACATTGAGTTGGAACAAGAAAAGGTAATTATAAAAATAAATACCAGTATAATCATAGGAATTAGGAAAAGGCATAGTGTCACATGCTGGCTGAGGTGATTTTATATTTTTCGATCGTTGCAATCATATGTAATTTCAGATAATTCCATTCATGATGTCGAGATGACCATGGAAGTATCAGGTTCAGATTTGATTTCCACTGCCGCTACCACTTATTTCTCACTGCCTTAGTATGTATCTGATTGGTTAAGAGATATCAACACATTTGATTGGTTAATAAACAATGAGCAATGCTGACAATGACATGCTGTCTAACAAGTTTTATGTCAGATAATATATGGATAATTTTATATGTCAGAAATTGCACGACATGCGACAAGACCGCATATGACATGTATGACCTTAAAGGAAATCTTTCATTATTATAAAGGCCATATTGGCCATATATTACTCTAAACCTGATCTGTTATATGATGAATAAAGATCAGGACTGGTACCATGCATGGGCAGAGTTGACCATGTCACCCTATCTATTCCACTTCATCACATTTCATTTTGATTTTCCAAAATTTCAGATAACCTGACAAAGAGTTTAGTCAATGAAGCTCTAGAATGGGACTTTAAAGACAACAGCAATAAACCAGCAAAGGATAGGAAAAGCAAACATTTGTCAGACGTTGTTGAATGTATTCAGGAATGTGCGCCATGTCTTTTAATGTTTGGGAGAAAAGGAATGCTGATGGAAAAGGAAGTGTGGCGTACATCACATTCTTTGGGAGACTTTCTTCCCCCTATTTCTTCCCTTCCTTTAGAAATTCTGCCCTTCTTTTTTCTTTTTTTTATTGGTGGTAACTGTTGCTCCAACTTCCTCTTAGGCACATTAGTTGTTCTTGGTGCAGGAGCAACCAGCTGCAAAAAGGAATTGAACTTCTGTGCCTGTTCCAATGATTCCTTTTTGCTATCATCAAAGATTTTCCCCCAGTCTATCTGAAGTAAATGGACCTTGTTACTAAAACAGATCCTTTTTAGTTTTGTATGGTTTTACAACGACTCCACATGTTTTATAGTCATGAATATTTATAAAGCTTCTCAATCACGAGATGGTTTGAGATGGGTGTATTTTTATCGAAATTTAGATTCCAATTATATGCACAAAGCTACATACCTTGACCTTGTTCGTGTTTATCGTCCATATCTTCAAAAAAATAATCACAACAATCCAATATTCGGACGGCCAGCTCACTAGTTCTAAGTTTTAAAGTAACGCGAGATGCTTGCCTACTTGAACCCACATGCAATAGACATTAGAGGTGCTTACGTCACTCTAGTGTCCAACAATGAGTTGGAATTCAATGTTGCCAGAATCATGTAGGAAAAACCGTGTGATGTAAGCACTTCTAAGGACTATTTAAAAAATTATACTGTTTCGTAAAAGCATTTCCAAATGAACTGATAGCGTACTAAGGGCTACTGCTATTTGCAAGCTACTACTAATTGTGACATTATATACGCCTAGGTTTACATAACTTACTTAGTCAGTGCCGTCATTTCAGACCTGTTTTGAAGTGACTGAAGCTTGCTAAGTGGTGAAACTGGTTGTTGCAGCATTAAACATTTTGAGATAAGATCTTTACTCTAAAACTGATCTGTTATATGATGAATAAAGATAAGGACTGGTACCATGCATGGGCATAGTTGACCATGTCACCCTATCTATTCCACTTCATCACATTTCATTTTCATTTTCCAAAATTTCAGATAACCTGACAAAGAGTTTAGTCAATGAAGCTCTAGAATGGGACTTTAAAGACAACAGCAATAAACCAGCAAAGGATAGGAAAAGCAAACATTTGTCAGACGTTGTTGAATGTATTCAGGAATGTGCCATGTCTTTTAATGTTTGGGAGAAAAGGAATGCTGATGGAAAAGGAAGTGTGGCGTACATCACATTCTTTGGGAGACTTTCTTCCCCCTATTTCTTCCTTTCCTTTACAAATTCTGCCCTTCTTTTTTCTTTTTTTTATTGGTGGTAACTGTTGCTCCAACCTCCTCTTAGGCACATTAGTTGTTCTTGGTGCAGGAGCAACCAGCTGCAAAAAGGAATTGAACTTCTGTGCCTGTTCCAATGACTCCTTTTTGCTATCATCAAAGATTTTCCCCCAGTCTATCTGAAGTAAATGGACCTTGTTACTAAAACAGATCCTTTTTAGTTTTGTATGGTTTTACAACGACTCCACATGTTTTATAGTCATGAATATTTATAAAGTTTCTCAATCACAAGATGGGTGTATTTTTATCGAAATTTAGATTCCAATTATATGCACTAAATATGCAATAAATTAGCATCATCAGCAATAAGTGAAAATCAACGAGGGATGAAGAAAGTTGTTAATATAAAGCAGACATAATACTGGTGTTTTTATTAAACAGTACATAACTACTAAATACAGGGACAGATAGATTTATTAAAATTACTTTGCAGCCATGTGACTGAATTGTATAATTATTTATGTGACTGTTGCTAAAAATTGTTTTACTATATTACAATTGGTTTCATAATTTACATAGCTTTTCCTTTCTTTCTATTCATTTGTTCTTTCAAACTATGTAACCGTTTTTGTAATATTAAACCATTATTTTGTAAATATATATACCATACCCTGCAAATTCATTTAGATTGCTCTGAAGATGTTGTATTGTAAACAATGAAACGTTAGCTAATAAAAAAATTTTACTTTTATTATGTTTGGATTTAAATTTATTTGCTGGGCTCTGCTCCTTTATGTTTAAACTAAGTTAGATCAACATTAAAAGTTAATGATTGGTGTATTGTAGTTATCGATTGAGTTGCACCTATTAAAAAAATATAAGGTGTTCTTCAATCTACTTGTACGAGTCCAAGGGACGTTAAATGTTCGTTTGTTTCTTAAATTGTAATTTGTGCTCAGGAATTTGTCCACTGTCAAATGTACATTGCTATGTCGAGGGTGAAATCATCTGACAACCTCCAAGTAATTAATTTCCACTGTAAATTCTTGCTACCTCCATCACCTGAACTGGTAAATCTTGCAAGAAACACCTGCTTAGAACCAACCGTGATGTATTCATGCCACAGCTTTCGACCTCTGGACAAAAGTAATTTTGTAGCCGGCGACAGTGTCATGATGTTCCACGAAGAGATTCAAACAATTGGAAGGTGACAAAGACGAAACTGATGTTACTAATGAAACAATTGAAGGAGTGGAGTTTTTCGAAACAACCAAAGGAACTGCAACATGCAAGCTTGAAGATAACTTACTTTGTTTGATACCACATTTTGAAACCGAATTGTCTACCCCCACCATCTACGTTTACCATGGACACATTCCTCACCTCAGCAATTACTAATCATATGGATTCCTACAGTGAAGAGATCAATGCTGCGGCGAGATATGCCATCAACAATATGGAAACATTTCAAATATTGGGCAACATACTTTGGTGTTGTATCACTAGTTTATTTGAGCAGCATTTGGCTGACAATCTAGAACTAGTCAACATAACAAAGATTTCACATTGGCAATGTCACAAATACACAAACTGTTTTTGTCAGAAGATTATCGTAAGGACTTAACCATTGCCTTTGGAGTTGAATGGAATGAAATTACCGATGGACAACAGACTCTTGTTACACAATTGGTATTCCGATTGTACCAAATTTTGATCTTTGAAGTAGAGAAGCAAATTAAAAAGTCAGAAACAGAACCGATTGAGTTCAATGTGGTAGAAATGAATGGAGTTGGATTGGTGAAAGTGTGTTATGTTGGTGCGTGGGCAGTTCGCATATGTCTCAACGAAGGTCGAAAGTATGCTATGGCCAACAAGAATTCGGAAACCAATAATATGCGAGAAAGGTTGGAAAGGGAAATGTTGGATCTTTTGGAAAACAACATAATATTTTTCATGCTTTTAGAAGAGGAATGAGTAGATCAGGGTTTTTTTCCAGGATTTTCTCTTGGGTCCGTTTTGCAGGGAAGATTGAGTTTAGCTGAACAGCTGGTCTGGGGTGGCTGTCTCCCCTGTGCCCACTTTAGTGTATTTGAGATGCAATGTGTTAAAGCAGGGGCACAAAGGGACACTATAAACTGGTTTAAGACGGCAAATGTGTTGTTTTTCTTGTGATGTTAAATGAATTCCAGCCATTTTTTACTTAATTTTCGGGTTTTCAACTGAAAACTAATTTGCACACGTCATGAATTTAACTCAAATGACTTCATTTTACTGCACAAAATCTTTTGACGAGAAGATTGAGTTTCAAAACTCAATTCAAGATTGAGTTTTTGGGGCCGTTTTACGGCCCTAAAAAATCCCTGAAAAAAACCCTGGTAGATCTAATAAATCTCCAACAGCTGTCATTGCTGAAAGGTGATATGCTTGATGAAAGTGTTCTAAAGATTCATTCTTTCATATTAAAAAGTAAATTTACTGGTTTGTTTGACATTGAGTTGGAACAAGAAAAGGTGATTATAAAAATAAATACCAGTATAATCGTAGGAATTAGGAAAAGGCATAGTGTCACATGCTGGCTGAAGGTGATTTTATATTTTTCGATTGTCGCAATCATATGTAATTTCAGATAATTCCATTCATGATGTTGAGATGACCATGAAAGTATCAGGTTCAGATTTGATTTCCACTGCCGCTACCACTTATTTCCCACTGCCTTAGTATGTATCTGACTGGTTAATCAGACATATCAACACATTTGATTGGTTAATCGGACATATCAACACATTTGATTGGTTAATCGGACATATCAACACATTTGATTGGTTAATAAACATTGAGCAATGCTGACAATGACATGCCGACTAACAAGTTTTATGTCTGATAATATATGGATAAGTTTAATATGTCAGAAATTGCACAACATGCAAGAAGACTGCACATGACATGCATGACCTTAAAGGAAATCTTTTGTTGTTATAAAGGCATATTGGCACATAACTTGTAATTAGCAGGGTAGTATGAGAAAAGGTTGAAACTTAAACATACATTACCATCCTGTCCCAGCAAAGAGTTACCATGTAGATTAATCTTGTTGTTTTCCACATATAATAAAGTTGTTTTCTGCATATAATAAAGTTGTTTTTCGTGTAAAAACAAAACATTCGCCAGCTACACACACTCACCCACAACAACTAATGGTACTCTACAAGTTGTGATTTGGTTCATCTAGGAGGAGACCTGTTATTGTTTCTGATATATTCTTATTGTTCTTTCCCAATATTTTTTCTTTCTGTAATCCAGCAAATGAGCCAGTGTTAATTTGCTAATTGTGGTTTGTCCAAATATTATACAATTCTGTGTTCCTTGGGTTAGTTGATAAGTCGGATTTTCGTTCTGGCCATCGGCCCCTTGCAAGTGTGAGAAATTATTTCCCCCCACGTCCTGATTGACGATAGCAGGCTTTATTAATGTACCAGGAAATCACAATAGTTTTTTTCTCACCATGGCAGTGAACCCGAGTATCATAGACTGCAGGTCAAACCACAATTTCGGAGATACAAATTCTTTACCTGTGGTCGCTTGCTGTTGCCATTCAGTGAAGAACTGTAGTGAATTGTTAAGGTCTTGAATATGGGTGTCGCATATGTGATAAATGACATGTTTTTCTGAAAACAGCTCCACAATTCGACTTGTATGGCATAGAAACAATATCGACATATCCAATCTTCACCTGCGATTGTTTTCAGATGTTCTTTATATGCCTGGGAAAATAGAAATCACATCGAAGATAAATCAGTATATTGTCGTGATTGACAGATACATGGCACAGATAAAATTGTTACCCATATTATATTTGTAAATAGGTAGTCTGAGCACAGATAAAAACTGCCCTTAAATGATTCTTGTTTTTCGAATCAAAACGTTTTCCAAATGGACCTAACCGTTAGTGTACTCTTGCCCTAATGGCAAACATGGGAACAAAACATGCTTTGTGATGCGTTGTTAGGAAAACATATGAGTGAGAACATAAAATATGCTTACAAAAGATCATATTTGAAAGCACTGGAGGGCTTCTGAGATCAAAATGGGAATTGAAACAGAAAGCAAACAAACATACGAACCTATTTTGAACGTTGGAGATGAAAATATCGAAGAAAGCAAGCGTAGTGAACAGTTTTTGATCGAGGCATCAGGGCCAGGGGACGAAGGCATTTCATCGCAAGATGATGTGTCGATGCAACCGCAGAGGATTTATACGACTTTCTGTTGCTCTAACGGAAATACAGTCAGATGAAATAGACGCTGAATTCGCCCTATGATTTGCTGAAGCTATACAAGAAATTGATGGCGAGAGGGTTTTTCCTTGTAGCCAGTGTGAGAAGTGTGCACGTCTAAAGGTGGAAAAACGGGGCAAAACGTGTGCTGCATTGACTAAAGAGGTCATGGCTTTGATTATATTAAATCGGTATAGGTCAAACTTAGAGAGAACCTATATGAAACATAAATAATGTACAGTTTGGCGGCTACTGTTTCCTCTACTGATGCTTTGTTCGATGCTTTGCATGGCCACTTTACACAACATGCGGTCGAGAGAACAATCAAGATAATAAACTTTTAGAATGTTTTTATGTGGCTTGATTCCTCGCTCATGTGAGCTGCTAAATAATGCGAGAACTATAAAGTAGCAAATTTAGTAATATCCATATTCCTGAGAATTTGATCAGAATTTTATAAAACACTAGGCAGCACATTGTCGGCATTGTTGGAAAATGTTGTATTTTCGTGTGAAGTTCAACCTTCGAACTACACAGAACCACAGTTAGAACTCAGGGCATTTTTTAACTATATAACTACTGGGGCATTTACCCCAGTAGGCCCTTTGCTTGCCCCAGTGGTGAAGCATGATTTTCAGATGAACTGGGCCCTTTTGATCATTAGTAAAAGGTTATTGTTGTGAATGATGCATCTGCCTGCTTTCTCATATGCTCTCACATTCTCAGCATTAATTTCCTCTTATAAAAGTCAGCAGGGGTGGTGCTAAAAGTGGGTTTTGGGTGCAGAACACCCCAATCGTCAAAGAGTTGGCAAATTATCTAATACCAGTTGGATGAAAAGAAATACTAATTAGCGTTTGAAATTAGTAGGCAATATTTCACTCCCACCTACCCCCTAGCTATTCAAGTAGCTGCCCCAGTAGTTGTAATTTCTTAAAAAATGCCCTGACCCCCTAACTGTGCCCTGACAGAACTGTACTTTGAAAATATAGTTAGACTTTGCATTTTCCCACACCAGAGACTTTATTACTAAGTATATCGCATTAGTTAATGAAAGGCAGTCAAAGAAAAAGGCATTGACAAAGGGGATATTTTAAACAATTAAAGATTGTCAGAAGTTCAGAACACTGTTTCCATGTACAGTAGCTAGCCCTCACCAGATTGTTTATATTTCAATAATTTCATCATAGGCATATATTATACGATAATTATATTGCTTTTAAACCTTATTGATAAATAGTTTTGTTAATACTAGTCAGGCAAGTGATTCGATTATGGTAATCTGCCACCATTCAGTACAGCCCTGCCCCACAGTGGAGCACTTTCAACCACAGGGTTGAACTCAGCCCTGTTAACCGGGTTGAATTATTTGCAATTACATGAACAATTTCAACCCTGGGGTTGAAATGCTATATGTAATTCCCGGCATTGATTCCCGGGAGTGAAAACAAAAACAGGCACCTGCCTTTGTTTTTGAGTCGGTATGAAAGAAATTATAATTTTTGATATCTACATTGGAACATGTTTCTCCATGTAATTTTGTTTTGGTAATTCCTAGCACGTTTGGTGTATGCTCCAGGGAGTATAATATATCTTCTAAAACGTTTAAATTTTTTGGTAAACTTCTTATATTACAGTGTAGGATTGAAAGAGAATTTGGCATAGTTTCTAATGTTTTTTAAAGTTTGTCAATTGAGAAATATTCAGAGCAGAGATTATATAGCATGGGTTTAAAAACAAATTGTATAAATCAAAATCGTTATTTTTCCTTCCAGACCAGCTTCCAAACAATGCTCTAAATTCTTTATCCAACAACGAGTAAAACGGAAGATTACTTACTGTGTTTGTTTTGATAGCCATCAGTGGATAATATAGTAAAGATTAAAGTGTTCAATTTTGAGTTATATTAATTAATGTTAATTTAATTTCTTCCGTCAAGAAAGTCGTTGAATTGCTCATGACTCACAAAACTTAATGTAGGTGAGTCATCAGTTTCGCGTAGCATAATCTTCCAATTCACCGTACATAAATATTTGAATTTAGATTCTTGTTTGAACTTGAGGATGTGACCGAACAAACGTTTCCTGTATGGTGTCAAAGACTCGATAATATGAATTTGCGTGTTCAACATCACCAATTGAAATATTGGGTTACCCACGATTGACGGCAGATCTTTTGCACGCTTTGATTTTAGCTTTTTCCTACTCGCATATATTTCCTGTTTCTTTATTTAACTATAAGTCGATCTTTGACTTTTCTCGTCGAAGGTAAACAATGCGCAATTGAAATGTCACTCTCAGCGAGATCCACTCCAATTACCTCAGATAATTCTTGAATGGGTTTTGTTGGGTTTTCATTTACTGCCACTGGTATGCCATACCAGTGATCTCAAGGCAATCTCTTCTACCATATTGCTCAAGTTCATCTAGATGCAGCTCCAAGTTGTAGTCGTTGTCATTTAGTTTGTCAACTTTGCCTTCCATTTCCTTGGCTTGTCGCGCAAGACCGAGTGACACTTTTTAACCTCGCCTATTGTTGCCAAATCGAGTCACATTTTCTTTGACTTGGACTCCTGAGATTTCTCTACTTCTTCAAGTTTTCTATTAAGACTTTTTAGGTTGGTCTTCAATGGCTCTATTTCTTTGCGCAATTCAGATTTCATCGCGTCAATCTTTTTGTTGACTTCACTTGTACAATCTC